ATTTAGTTACACAAACATAACTATCAATTCATAATATTAATTATTATCACTTAACATTATTTAACAATAATTATTAATATATAGTATTAATTAGTATTAGATATATTTAGTAAATAATATAAAGAAATAGTAACCAATAATAATAGTATACAGTAGGGCACAGTAAGGCACAGTAATGGCACAGTAATGAAAATCACTAAATTTAAATATAAAAAGGGACTAAAATTACCTTGCTCCTCTTTAGTTCACAATTTTATAATTTTGAATTTTGATAATTTGTGACTTATTTGAAATTGATAAATTTAATTTTATAATTTGTAACTCCAAGATAAATACTTGTAAAAATTACTTTGCAATTGAATTAATAAAATAATAAATATTGGAAAAATTAAATAAAAAGTTATATTAAATAATAATATATGTAGTTAACAAAGGAATAATAGATATTATGGGATGATTGTATAATTGTATAATATTATTATTCTTGAGTTAATGAAATTAATTATAAACTATTATTATAAACCCTGGATTTGTAATAATAATTAACCTGGATAATTGGAAATAATATTCAAAGTTGATGAAATTAAAAGATGATTAATAGATGGATATTATATTAAAGATAATGATGAACTTGAAAAGATATTGAAATAAATTGAATGAAAGGTCTGATTCCTTTTCTAAAATAATTGAATTAGTGGTACCTTCTATAACAACTAAACAACAGTTTTACCTTTGGGAAAGGACTATAAATTCCTTAAAAGAATCATTAAGTCACTCTACTGGTTTAACCTCAAGGAAACCAGAAGTCACTGGTGACACCATTTGCTATGTTGTTCATGTCAAAGGTATTTACTTCTCTACTGTCTCTAGAATAGATAAATGATTAAAAGAAACAGGTAGTAATGAAAATTGACTGAAATCTAGGTGTCCACTCTTAATTACCAGTCGTGATAAACGAAAAGTGCTTCATCTTATAATATCTAATGAAGTATTCATGATGATTCAAGCTAAGGAGCAGCTCAACAGGGATGAAAATATAGAAGTAAGTACTGAAACTATATACTATACCCTCTGGAGAAATGGTCTAAAAAGCCTTAACTCAAGAAGACACATTGAAATTGGTGATTTGCTTTTGTAAAAAGGTATCTACATTGGATGATTTCAGATTGGTCAAAGGTAATTTGGTCAAATGAAAGTAAATTCAATGTTTTTAGTAGTGATAGAAAAGAATATTGTTGGAAGAGAGCGGAGAAACCTTTAAGAGACTCCCATGTGAAGTCAACTGTAAAATTTGAAGGTGGGAATAATATGGTGTGGAGGTGTTTTATTTCACTTGGTGTGAAAAACCTCTATAAGATAGATGGGAAGATGGGATTGTGATATTTACAGAAGAGTACTTACAGAAGATTTTTAGGAACACTCTCTTGGTATAATCTAAATAAAGAAAATATTATTTTCAACAAGACAATGATCCTTTTAATTTTTATCATATACATGGAAAAGGATTAGGTAGTATTATTAATTTAATAATAATTTTTTTAAAGGTTTAGGACAATATCTGCATTCAAAATATTCAATTTTTAGTTCAATAGAACATCTCCAACATATATATTAATTATGTCAAGTTCATTATAAAAGATAAATATAACAGAATTTTAAAATTTTTTTTTGTTGTAAAATTATTTTTCAATTAATTATCTATTATTTTTTTAGAAACATTGATAAAAATAAACATTTATCTCAAGAAATTAAAGATGCAATGTATTTAATTCCTACATTAAAAATACAAGATGAAGTTTTAAGAGTATTAGATAATATACAATTTTGTGATGAACCAGGAACAGAAGGTAATTATTAAATAATTATTGGTTATAATTTAAATAAATATTAAAGTATTTGTTTTTTTATAGATTGGGTAAAGGACAAACTTATTCTATGAATATTGTCTGGTATATCTGTTGCATTTACAAAAATGGATCATGTAATCTGAAATTAAACTTCAAATAATACAAATGTTGAAGAAAGTACCTATGCCAATGTAAATTATGATGGTCATAATCTTTCCCTTCTTCTAGAATTATTGGGTATTATTTATATTCATTTTATATTTGATTGATTTTTTAAAATATAATATCTTATAATTTATAATTTATTTTTCAGAGGATGTGATTTTGATAAAAGAAGTTGGAAAAGTGTATTTGTAAATCAACAATATAATGTTTCAGATTCTTATAGAAATAAATCAGATTTGTCTAGATCAATTCAAGCTGAGAAACAAACTAGTAAAAATTATTATTATTATTTAATAAAATATTTATCTATTATTTATTTATTTATTTGTTTGTTTGTTTATTTATTTAGAAAAAAGAAGAAAAGACAAGTAACCTGTATTATCCTTGTCCTTGAATAAAACAAAAAAGCAAAAAAATAATTATAATGAAAATGATGAAAATTTACAAATTAATCAACAGCAAAATATGAATAGAGTTGCAATTGAAAAATTAAATATACAAAAACAAATGAATGATGAGCTTGAAAGGGAAATTACACTACTTGAAAAAACGAAAACAGCTAATGAATTAATAACCATTATTATACACATTTTATTATGGGATTAATTAATAATGAACATATAATTATAGGATTAAAAATTATTTGATTAATAACAAACATATAAAATTAATAAATTCAATTTAAAATATTATTAATAATATGTGCGCCACATTTTTTTATTATTTAATTGTTTATATTTAGTAAAATACCTGTACTGTACGGTTTTTAATATAAAAATACCTGTACTGTACGGTTTTTTAACATAAAAAATTTCATACAGTACAATTTAAATATATATATATACTGTATTGTACGAATTTTGTGCAAATTTTATGTAAAATCGTACAGTACAAAATAGCATTTCGTACCGTACAGTTTATCGTCATACCTGAACTTCTGTCATGTTTTAAAAAAATTATTGTCACGTGTATATATATAATCCGGATTATAATCCGAATTATGATCCGGATTTACCGGATTAAGGATCATAACACTAGCCTTTGTCAATTGTCAATACTGGAAGGTTTTCTTTCATAAGCACTCTATAATCGCCAGGTGTTATTTCTTCTAATTTAAATTTTTTCTTAGCCCAGACGTGTGTATTTTTATTATAAAGATTATTATTTTTTGGATTTAAGAGTATTTCTTTAATTTTATTATAATGATCAGAATTAATTAGAGCTTTTTCTTGTTTAGATACTGGAAGATTTATTATATATTGATCGATAATTTTATTAAAAGTTTCTTTACTAATAAAATTATATTCCATGATGAGTTTTAAAAAAATTAAAGGTATAATTTTATTGTCGCAGCACATTAAACTCAAAAAATCAAATTGAGACGATCATTTTTTGAAAAAATTCACATCAGGCACCTCAGGTGACGATTTACACCTGCCTCAGGTGACAACTGAGTACATCGGAGGCACAACATATATATATTTGCGTTATTACAAATAAAATTTATTTAACCAGCTAAAAATAACGAGCGGATAGAAGTGTAGGTCAGAGGGAGGAATAAAGCATGTAATATGCCTGTCGGATCCTAAGCTCCTTTACGATATAAAGAAATGACCTTATCACTATTATCTTATATCATCTAAAATTATATTACCTGCGCAATTATTATAAAAGTGAATGCTAGTTTATTTATAAAAATAATAACAAGGTTTGTTCAACTCAGAAAATTTCTCAAGAGCGCGTGAAATAGATGATTTACTACAATTATTAGTGTTACAAATAAGTGCTCGGGGTAATAAAAAAGAAATTATTTATTATTTATTGTACATTACTCAGAAGAAATTATGTATTATAAGAATTAAAAGAATATGCGGAAAGGATTCTAGTAAATGGCATTTTCCTATCACATCATCTTTATTCCATGCATTATTGCCTTCAACACCCTAGCGATTCTCTCTTCCTTTTCGCGTTCTGTTTGATTGTCCAAAGCCCTATCACCCACATCTTCAACTAAAGGACCACCATTCTTGACCGCAGTTTTCAATAGATAAACGAAATCACAGTGTGTTGTTATTGGGATACTTGACCTCGCGGTCAAAACATCTTGCAATCGAGAAGTCTGTTCAAATTTTGAGGCAATCATTTCTGCACGGTCAACAATCTGACGAGGAATTCCTGCCATGTTAGCCACATTCATTCCATAAGATTTGGGACAAACCCCAGGTACTAATTTGTATAGAAAGGTTACTTCTTTTCGATCTTGATCAATTTCACAACTCATATGTTTGAGTGCGATATTAGGATTCTTGGAAAATTCTTGAGTGAGCATGCCATAATGTGTAGAAAATAGACCGAGACAACCAATTTGAGTTGCTAAATAATGTAAAACAGAGTATGCGATGGCATATCCATCAAATGTGGAAGTTCCACGCCCAAGTTCGTCAAGAATAACCATAGATCTTGGTGTCGCTTCATGCAAAATTTTGGACGTTTCACTTAATTCTACCATGAAAGTACTTTGACCGGCTAGAATATTATCATTAGCGCCGATGCGTGTGTAGATTCTATCAAAAGGTGTCATAAGACATCTCTTAGCAGGAACATAGCAACCAAGTTGAGCCATAATGATTGCAATACAATTCTAAAGAATAAATATTTAAAGTTAAATCTGTTCAAAAATTCGAGATCATTTAAAATTTAGATTAATTACCTGTCTTAGAAGTGTGGATTTTCCACCCATATTGGGGCCTGTCAATAGTATAATATTTTGTTGATCACCTCCCAAAAAAGTATCATTGGGTATAAAATCGCTGACGATACTTTAAATGTTTAATGTCACATACAAATAAAATATAAATAAAAATATAAATAAAATCAGATAAAGATAAAGTTTAATATTCTAAAAAAATGATTTACCCGGATACGACACAAGGATGTCTAAGTTCTTCAAACTCTAATATACTAGGATCTTGCCTTACAAACTGAGGTCGGCAACAAGGTTCTATAATGAAAATATCTTTTTTAATTAATTTTATAAATTAACTTTTCAAAATATTTTAATTTCGTAATTATTTACCACCCAATGACGAAGAGCTATTGGCTAAACTTAAAAGACAGTCGAGCTCGGCAATAATTTTGACTGTAAGCAACCACTCGTGATAATGAGCATCGAATTTTTCGTAAAATCTACCGTTCAAGGATTTCGAAACATTAGATTCTACTTCTAGGGCTTCTTGTAAATCCCTAACAAGTTTCTGAAGAGTTGGATTCCAATAACGATTGACTTTCTAAAAATAATTAATATTAAAACTCAAAAATTTTAAACTCTATTCACTTTATTCGAAACGGTAATGAATAAACGTGTATGTTATTATTCTTTTATTATTATTTACCTGCGTGCGAGATAATTTTTTCCAATCTGAAGGTACTTTTACTGTATTTGGGACTTCAAGTTGATAAATTTCTTTTCCAACATCCCTGTATACAACCTTCGTTGTTCTGATAAAGAATTTATCAAATTAATCAGTATTCATTTGTCAAAATGAACTAGATGATTTCTTAATTGCTTACCTTAATTGTTTATTTGCCTCAGCCAAGTGTTGAGTTAGTTTCTGATCAATTGCCTTAAGCTCGGTTTGTATTTCATCATAATCGTTGTCAATACCAGTGTAAGGAATTAGATTTCCTTATAGAATTAAATCAGCAAAATATGTTATTAAACTAGTTTCATAAGATATTATCAAGATATTTTTATATGTTCTCATTTTTTACCTTCATTTTCCGCTTTACCGTAATCGAATGCTTCTTTGAAGTATAAAAGCGTGGGTGTCAAATTAGGAATTTTTTCAAACAATTTAAGTAATTTATTCGATTTAAACTTTTGTGCAAAGTCACCAAGATGTGAAACTGTTTTCTATATATGCGAAAATATGAATGAATCGAATCTTTATTGAACAGTGTTAATATTAGATTAATTAAAGTATTTAAGATTCAAACCATTAATTTATCGAAAGCTGTCAATACGAGTAAGAACTCTTTCACTTTACATGTTTTTGCATGAATTCTACTAATTAACCGTTCAAGATCCGGAAAATGAGAAAAGTTGAGGTAAAATGAATTCCGAAATTCAGGAACTGAGTTTAATTCCTCTACTGCATCCAAACGTGCATTAATGGCGTCAATGTCACGAAGTGGATGACATAACCAGTTTTTAAAAGTTCGTTTTCCTGATGCAACGTCAAAATTTCAGATTTTTTGAGAAAAATATATATTAAATTATATCAAATGTTAACAATAATTAGTCATCTTTACCGAATGGAGTAGCACAGTGATTTAATAACTTGAATACTGTTCCATGATCACTACCATCTATGCTATTCTCGAATATTTCTAGATTTGCTAAAGACTGACCATCGAGAATGAGAGAAGAACATTGACGAATGGGATCATATATATGAAAGTTTTTGAGAGATACAAGTTCTGCGTCGAGTTTCAACTATTAAATTAAAGTTAGGGAATAAGTTATGAACAACTCATGACAAACAAATTAATATATTTGTATCTTACCGAACGTAAATACCAAATGAGACCTATAAACATAGATTATTAAAAATTAAAAATTCACAATTATTACAAATATTTATTTATATTTAAATTGTACTTACCACCTAAGGCAGACAACATTAATGGCTTTCGCATAGCTTCTTTTATTGCACTAGGCCACGTGTCTAATTTAAGAATCAAATTATTATTAAAATTATTGGTATTTAAAGAAATTTATTTCTTTATGATCACAAATTCATTCTAACCGTTAGGATCGTCACTATCCAGATTTTCCATTATTTCATCGTTGTTATTGTCTTCCATAATGACATCTTCGTCCTCTTCTTGACCAAATGCTTTCTTATTATTTTTTGAAAAGTATCGAGAAAGTCTAATTTCGTCATAAGTCGTGTTGGCATCCCAGAACTCTACATCTGGTTTAAGTGCCGTCCAAATCGTGTGGCTGGTACAATTTTTCAATATGCGCAATGTTCGTTGACTAAGCCTTCCCTGATTATAAAATCACAAAACCATTTAGAAATGCATTCATGCATTCTTCATAAAAATCCCTAAAAAATTTGGAGATATACTTTTTCATGGACAATTTCTTTCGGCTTCACTTGCATAATCAACGTTTCAAATTGGGTTCGATCAAAATCATCAACAAAAGATGTTAAATGGAATTCCGCAGTTGCGGTATCAACAAAGCAGATTCCAAAGGCAGGAGGGTCGTTTTCTGAATCACATGATTCCTACGTACGAAAGGTTCATTAATTATGAGCATAAAGTAATTCTTTCTTAATACATATTAACATACGAAAACAAAAGTATTATTGAAGACATTAAAATTAAATAACTTTAATTGACATGCAAAAGGTCGACATATCGTTCGTCAATAGTCCGCCATCGACTATAGTTCCAGCGGTGAGAATAGTTGCCAACTCACGACGAATGATTTTTTCTTCCTATAATAGTATGAAGTAAATTGAAATTAAAAAATATTCGACAAAAGGACAGGTTAGATTTCAATACCTTTTTCTTGCTGGATTTCTCACGCATTTCTTTTCCTAATGCTGTCTCCATTTGATCTACTCTCGCAACCTTGTACCTATTACAATAAATAAATATTAGAAATACTTTATATTTTTACGTTCTCTAATAATAATATGTTATAATGTGTTAAAAGTAATTTATTTGAATCATACCCTTTGGCAATAAATTGTGCGGCCCAAGATTCAAATGACATCTCAGGTACGCCAACCATGCGCATGTTTACACGATCTGTAAGCTTAAGATCGAATTCCGAATGACCAATGTCGGCATCACGTTCATATAACTCTTCAAAAATAAAAATTATTAGACATTCCGATCAAACTTTATTTTAATGGAAGGTTAGAATTTTGTATTATACCATAAAATTTCCCTTTCTTGAAAAATACGATCTTGTATTTGTAGATAAATTAGTTAAAAATGATTTACAATATATATTTAATATACAAATTGTACATACTGTATCCCAATGTTGTGATTTAATTTCCCAGAATTGCTTCTCAAATGGTGTAAATTTATCCCAGGCTGATTTAGGAATATTTAATGTTCTTGGATCATAATTTGGTGATCCTTTTTGAAGGAACACAAAGATTATCTCAATTAAATTATGTTATAAATTTAATATAGTTAAAAGATTTGAAAAGCACACCTTCAGGATTTCCATCTGCATCTTTGACATTCAGCAACCAACTATAACGGTCATCATTTTTTGCTTTAAAATCTGCCACACGTTGCTGAAATTTTAATCAAGAAATTTATTTTTTACTAATTAATTAATTAATTAACAAATAACTTTTATTAAGTATGTTACCTTTTTTTTCTCAGAATCAGTCATACGAGCTGAAGAAGAGAAAGATAAATCACGACGAGTAGTTGAATTAGAAGCAAATGCCTAAATTGGTGATATTTTTATTTAGATCACTTGTCAATCTATTTTTTTCAAAATGAAATTTAAGATGTGCCTTTAATTTATTCTGAGAATTAGTTGAAGAAACGACTGAAATTCTTTTATTTTGTTGATTTTCGATAGCCCGTTTGGACTTATCATTGTAATCACAATCATCTAAATAAAAATAGAAAATACTAAATAATATAATATTTATATGATCATCAGCAATATAATTTAACTTGTAGAAATATATTATTACCAATATTTTTCTCATCTTCATCCATATAATCAAGTTCTTCATTTTTTAATCTTTTATTACTCAATATTTTATCTTGTGTCTTTGGCTTCTCTGCATAAATTACGTGAAAAATATAAATTAAATTGAAAATTTTTAATAGAAATTATTTGTAACCTACTTGGTGAGTCTACAAATTCATCCGTTTCTCCATAATCATCATCATCATCTGATGAAACAATAATTCTGCGTTTAATCCTCTAAAATTAAAAGTCATGATAAAACCAATTATTACAAAACATATAAAACAATGTTCCTAATACATTTCTAGGGAAATAATTAGTAAATTTTGTATCAAAAGTAACACACCCTTGAACTTCTTTTTTCAAGGCTTGACTCTTCAAACTCTTCAGTTAAGCTTGAACTTTCCCTCTCTAAGACTTGACCAAAGTTAGAGCTCGGAGTAATTGGAGTTACGGGTGCTTGTATTATAAAATCCTTTTTTGTTACTTTTCTATCTCCACTAGAGTTGGGAGTAGGTAAGTTCTTTTGGAGATAAGATAAAAGGGTTGCTTGAGTCTTGACAGGTGTCGAAGTCCTACTAGGTTGATTTTTTGCGTTACTGAAGCTTGCTCGACTCGAATGCACATCATTATATTTTTTTGCGAGTGGCATTTTTTTTAAAAAATAAACTTGATATTTGCGCAATCCCTTTTTTCTGAAACGCAAAAGCGATAAAAGCGACGTGTTTCTGTCGCGTCAATTAACTACAATCTTTTAGTCACATGATAATTAGACTAAGATCTAAGTCTACAAAAGTTTGTAAGACAAAAAAAGTTGTTTAGATAAGCGCTTAATTAAAAGAATTGATTATAATAACTATTGGACTGAATTTGATAAAGTATATCAATTCACTAAAGGACTATGCAGAGAGATTGCCTGTCAATTAAATCCTCATTTAACTTTCCAAAACAACCTTATTCTTGATCAAATAATTGAAGCAGCCTGACGCATGGAAGAAAATAATAGAGTTTATCTAGAAGCTCTATTAGGATTTCAATAACTCCATATTAATAATCCAGTTGCAATGGCATATTTACACCAAAACTCAAATTCAGTCTCTCAAAGTGATCCTGTTGAAGTAGCAATAAATAAAGCTTTAAATCCTTTGATCCAAGCTCTAGAAAAGTTAGCTTTAGGACAAGGAAATAATAATACAGAAAATACAAATCAACCTCAGTCCAACAGACCAAATTATATAATAACAGTAATTTTGGTAAAAATAATAATAATAATAACAGACCTCCTCGAAGACCAATTACATGTTATAAATGTAATCAAATAGGACATTATGTTAGAAATTATTCTAGTATCAATAATAATAATAATCAAACAATAACTCCTGTTAATAATTAAGTCCCTGCAAATCAAAATATGTATAGAACTCATTTGTTTGCACAGCAACAAATGCAACAAACAGTACAACCACAAGTTTACCAAATGCAAATGCCCCCAGCACAGTAACAAATACCCCAAGTAAATCAATATTAAAATGTTCCTCTAGTAGTTTCTCAACAACTTCTCCAGAATCAAAACCAACAAGTTTTAGTAAGATTACATGAAACAGGAATAGTATCATTAACTCAACAAGTTTATCCTGTTGAGCATTGAAACTAGAAAATGTACCTCAGGAGGGTGGAAGTACGTCTGATAATGCAATTCCCTTATATATAGAAAAATTTCAAGGATTACAACAGTCCCAACTAAAGCTTCTTATGGGCCGAGCTGAGCTAAGCTTCATAAAGCTCAGGTCGAGCCGAGCCCAAAAGTCTTAGGCTCAGCTCGAGCCTGAGTTTATAAGTTAGGCTCAGTTTGAGCCTCATAGTAGGCTCGTGAACCTTATATTAGACTCATAAGCAACGGATAATTTTTTTTTAAAAAAAATTTGTGGCTTTTAAATAAAACCACAAATTTTAAAATAAAAAAAATTATGTGGGCTTTTATTTAAAGCCCCAAAATTTTTAAGGCTCGCGAGCTTACTTTAAGGCTCAAGCCTTATGAGCCAGTCCTTAGTTAAGCTTAGCTCGTGAGCCTATGAGCCTATAATATCAGGCTCAGCTCATTAGGCTCGCAAGCCTTAAAGCCTATACGGAGCTTTAGTCCCGATATGCTGCTAAATCACAAAATAAAATATTTGCTAGTAATAAAATTGAAATAATAGATATACTTATTCCAAAACTTACAAAGATTGAAAGTTTCAAGGATAATAAAGGAAAACGAAAAGTAGAAGGTGAACAGAAAGAAGGAAAGAAAGGAAGACAAAAGCTAACCTTTATAGAGAAATCCTTATTAAAGCAAAAGACCATGCTATACTCAATTGTTGAAGATTTGCTACATGTCAAATTAAATATTACTATAGGACAATTAGCAAATATATTTAAATTCAGAAATGAGTTAAGAAAAGTCATAACTCCAAGATGAAAGAGAAATCCTAAAAAAAAGGAAAAGAAGGATAGAGAAAAAGCAAATTTGAGAAGTACCTCTTACTCTAATACTTCTATAATTTGCAAAGGACAAGTGAAGGATGGACCATTGATATTATTCTAGATAGTGGTTCATCTACAAGTATTATCTCAAAGAAATTCCTTGAACATTTAAACAAAACTGTAACTTGTAAATCTGACAGAATGATCATTAGCATATATGGTAACAAAAGGTTTAGCTTAGGAATTATTAACAATATCGCAGTTCACATTGGTGATTTAGTAGTATTCACAGATATAGAAATAATTGATACAGTATCCTATTCCATGATATTGGAAACTGATTGGTTGCGAAAGGCCAATGCAGTAATAAATTATAAGAATTCCCAAGTAACTATTTCTAATAATTATAGAAGAGCCCAAGTTTCTTATAAGAATTCCACTGCACCACCTCTATCAGTAATGAATAATGAGGAAGATTCAGATGATGATGATTATAAATATGAAGAAGATGAGGGTGAAGATGAGGATAATAACCTTGTCTTAATGATAAATAAAGAGGAAAGTTCAGATCAACACTTTTACAAGTTCACCTCTTGGAGAATTGAATTTGATCATGAAACTTTTACCTAGCAAGAGTATGATAATATGAATTGACAATTTAATTCCTGGTTAACTAATTAAAGGTACCGACATCAAGTTAAACATTGATTTGAAGGACTTGACAAAGAATGTTGGTACCAAAAACAATTACCAACAGAAAAGGATAAATACAATAATTGTTATGAAGATTATTTCTGCTGAGAAACAATTCAAATAATCCCTATACAAGAAATCAAAAATGCGCAATCATTTTTAGTAAAAGAAGGAGCAGAAAAGTTAGCTCAAAATGAATATAATTATATTGTCCAGAATATATTTGAAAAATATTCAAATGTTATAGCTAAAGATTTAACTCAACTAGGTTGTACTAATATTGTAATCCATCATATTAATATTGGAAATACTAGAAAAATAAAACAACAATATTACAGAACTTCCCTCAAATATGAGTTTTTTATAAAGGAGAAAATAGAATATCTCAAAGAACAAGGACTTATAATACCTTTTCACAGTCCCTAGACTTCTCCTGCACTTGTAGTTAATAAGGCAAATGGAAAAATGAGACTTGTTATAGATTACCGTCAATTAAATAAAATAATAAAACCTGATACATATCTCCTTCCTAAAATCTTTGATATGCTGGATACTCTTGCTCACAGCAAATACTTTTCAACTTTTAACCTAACTTCTAATTTCTGACAAGTAACAATGCATACTGTTGACCAAGAGAAAATTATCTTCAGTATCAAGTTTGACACTTATGAATTTACAGTCATGCCCTTTGGTTTAATGAATACTCCAGTAACTTTCCAATGCTTGATGGATAATGTCTTCTATAATGTAACCTGAAAGTTTGTTTTAGCATATATAGATAACATTATCATCTATTTAAAATCATTAGAAGACCACTGTGCTCATCTTGAACAAGTCTTACAGTTATTAATTAAAGCAGGTCTAAAGTTAAATTCTAATAAATGTGATTTCTTTAAAAAACAAATACTTTTCCTTGAACATTTGATGTCTGAGAAAGAAATCAAACTGAATCTGACCTTAGTTGAAAAAATTAAGGAATGCCTTCCTTCAATTTTCAAAGCATCCATGAAAATTAATGCCATAATTTTTCTGCAAATTTTCGTAATTCTGCTGGAAATTTTTATTACGTCACAAAAATTTTTGACAGAATTACAAAAATTTGTGGAAAAATTATGACATAAATTTTCACGGATACTTTGAATTTAAATGTGAATTTCTTCACGAATATCGATGTTATAGTAATGAAACACATATTATCTTGTAGTCAAAAACTAAGGCTTTCGATCTATTTTAGAAATATCTTAGTAGAAAATCACTTCCTGTCACCTAAATCTCAGCTAAAGTTAAAAAATCAAATTTTTCAGGTATAAATTTCCAGAGGTCATGTGATATTTCCTTAAATCTATATCTAATTAAATTTTCTGATATTATTTCTAATCTTTTATATTCTTTTATTATGAATTTATCTACAGTAAATACATCCTTTTCAAGAAATCTGATTTTAATATTATTCCAATCATTACATTTACTTAGTGTAATATATGCCTATTCTTTTTCAAACATTTGTGAATTTAAGTTCAGTGATATATTAGGTAAAGTTAATCCTTGAACTTTGTGAACAGTAAATGTATAGATATTAATTATTGGATATTAGGTTCGACTTACAGGTATTCTATAAAGTAAAAATGATGAAATATGTTTCTTGATTTCTATATCAATAATTTTATTTTCAATACAAAAAGCACATCTAACTGTTGTACTTCCATGTTTAAATTTGTGATAATACCAATAGTTCTATTACATATTCCATATTGAAATTCAGAATTGTTTAGAAATATTATTTTTGCACCAATTTGTAATTGTATTTTTTTTTATAAATTTGTTTTACATTTAAATAATTTACTAGAATATTTATTATTTTGAATTTTTTGATTAATAATATCAATTGAATTGGATATCATAAGTTTGTTATTTTAAATTGATAACATATTATATATTTTTGATTGATTTGTTTAGCAAATTCTTTAAACCTACTATATATGTTATATTTAAAAGTTCCAAATTTTCAAATGTATAATTAATGGTTTGATTTAATTTGGTTTGTAATATGTTTAAGTAAATTATCAATTTTTTCAAATTTAATGTTTTAAAGTAAACAATAATAATCTGAATTTGAATTTTGTTTCTGTGATTTATATAGGAACATCAGAAAATTTTTTGGAGCATAAATTTCCGTAATACAAACGGGACCTACAGAAATTTACATCCAAAAATTTATTTTTTTGACTTTGGTCGCAATTTATGAGACAGGAAGCAATTTTCTACTAAGGTGTTTCCATGACAGATTGAAAGTCCTGGTTCTTGACTACAAGATTATATGTAAATTATTCCTGTAGTATCAATATCCGCGGAGATATTCACATTTAAATTTTGAACGTTCGTGAAAAATTCAGCGTAAATTTTCCGTAAATTTTCGTAATTCTGCTGGAATTTTATCGTGACGTAATGAAAATTTCCAGCAGAATTATAAAAATTTACGGAAAATTTACACTGAAT